TTCCTGTTATTATTAACATATTGAACGATGATCTTGAAGATTTAAAAACTAGGACTAAATTAACTCTCATAGATATACACCAATTAATTGAACTATCGTTAAGCATATGTTACTTTTTATACGAAGATAAAATCCGAATTTTACCTAATTCAGGTCCAATTGGTTTATCATTGATGGTAGTCATAGCTGAAGCATTTTTGCAAAATATAGAAAAAAGAGCACTTGATATAGCCTTTGTTAATTCATTCCAACCAATAACTTATAAAAGATATGTGGATGATAGCCATGCTCGCTTCGATTCAAAAGAAAAGCAAGAATTATTTCTTAAAGCTTTAAATGAACAAAACCCCTCCATAAAATATAATGTTGAACTTGAAAACAAAAGAAAACAACTTAATTTTTTAGATATTTGTATTACAAATACAATGAATGGATTTTATGAGTTTCAAATACACCGTAAGGATGCGATAACAAATGTTCAAATAAAACCAAACTCCAACATCAACCCGAGCATAACCATTGGCGTCTTTAAAGGTTTTTTATGTCGAGCAAAACAAATCTGCTCTCAAAAATATCTCTCACAAAAAATTGATTTCCTCATAAATACATTTTTTGAAAACGGCTATGATAAAAATAATCTTATTAAAATAACCAAAAACTATTTAGACGGCATTTCAAAAAATACTACATCTAATCAGTTAGATCAAAAGTTTGTTAAACTACCTTGGATACCTATTATTGGCCCAAAACTCCGAAGAGAATTTAAAAAACAAAACGTCAGAGTTATATTTAATTCAGCTCCTAGTTTGAGTAATATATTATGCAACAACAAAACTAAACTACCTCCGAACTCAAATCCGGGGGTTTACCAACTTAAATGCTCATGCGGAAATATATATATTGGTGAGACCAAAAAGAAAATCATTTCAAGAAGTGCAGAACACCAAAGAGCTTGCAAAAATCAAAAATGGTCGAGTTCAGGAGCCACGGAACATTCCAAAACATGCCATGGTAACTTTGATTGGCTAAATCCTAAGACCTTGGCAGTCGTTCAAGAATACAAGATACGGAAAATTAGAGAATCTCTGGAGATTAACAAAGCGAAAGTTCGATGTGAGATAGGTATTGGGGAAGGTGTTCTAAATCGAGATGACGGGGATAAGGTTAAAACAAGAACTTAGGGACCCATTTTGACAAAAATTTAACTGACGTCATTATTATATTTAATTGGTTTTATATTTGACGCTTTTTAATGTCTTCTTTTTAAACGGTTTGTTTTTATGTTATTTTGTAACGTTTTTTATTATTACCTGATGACGCTGACCACAATAGGTCAGCGAAATATCGTTGATATATTTTTACATCAAAATATATTTAAAAATAGTTATACGCTGCCTTTTTATTAAAATCTACTTACATATTAAATATATATATATATATATATACATATATATATATATATATATATATATATATATATATATATATATATATATATATATATATATATATATATATATATATATATATGTATATATATATACATATATATATATATATATATATATATATATATATATATATATATATATATATATATATATATATGTATATATATATATATATATATATATATATATATATATATATATATATATATATAATTAGGGGGGGTCCATAATCGTCTTTTTTCAGATTTTTTATAGTTTAACCAATTTTTCTTAATTAGTTTTTCTGAAAATCATAATCATTTTTTTTAATTATTTAGCCTTAATTTTTTTTAATTATTTAGCCTAAATAATTAAAATTTCATTCTTCCATTGTTATCCATTTGTTTTTGTTGCTGGTTTCAACACTATTCCATAGTTTCAACTTTTTGGACAAATAACTGGACAATAATTCTCCAAAATATTTTTAAACTGCGCGAACCTTTTTTATATGGTTTAAATAATTAAGTATACATCTATTGTTGAAATTAAATGGGTTTTTTGCAAAGCTTTATAACTGCAACAACTTAATTAGAAAGTTAATACTAATCATATTTGATCATCAACCAAACACATAATACTTTTCTCTTTTTGAAGTCCTTAGGCTAACTTTTGCCAAAATACTCTAGCAAGAATGATACAATCATTTAACCTCTTTGAGGTATACTTATTAACTGGTTCTAGAATTTTTTTTTAACTAGCTATTCACTGCGTTTTAGAGTAAAGCAGAAAATTTCAAAATTTGATCACCCATGTTTGTTTTTTATAAAGCCTTTTAGGTAGCGATGTTCCTTTAGCCTGTTTATCTTTAGAATTGTTAAAACTTTAGAATTTAACTGAACTTATACTGACTGGCACTTTAAAAGAAGATTTATTCTTGACATCATTAAAGAAAAGTGGAAAAAAAAAAGAAATCTTGAATAACGATTGAAGAATCTTCTTGATAACTTGAATAAGGATTAAAAATAAATAAAAAAAAGGAAATTAAGATATTTTGAAGCAATCTGTCTTTTTGATTACTTAAAACGTTTTGTTTAGAAAGAGACCTCAGATAAAACTTTTTTTTTAAAGCAATCTGTCGTTTTACTTATTTAAAACATTTTTTTAGAAAAAGACTTCAGATTAAACTTTTTTTTTCTAAAACGCAACGATTAAAAATCAAATTTATCCTATCAAAATTTGAACTGCATAAATTTGAAAGAAAAGTTGCGTAACTTTATATGCAAAAAAACTTTTGCAAAGACTTTTATTTTTTGTATCTTTAAATTTTTAAAATAGAAGTAGAAGGTCAACCATAAAAATTAGAATGAAAAAAAAAATGTATAAATAGATAAAGATAATGTATAAATAGATAAAGAAGGGTGACTGCAAGTAACTAGTTTGTTAATTTTGATCATCAGCCAACTTTTTGAGTTGCCTGTTGCTATTTTTTGTAAAATGTTTTGTATACTGCAGAGTTCTTGCATATTCTAGTCATTTATCATTATAGTGCTGAGTGTAGACTAGAAATAATTTGCGTAAATAAAATTAATATTGTAAACTATTGATAACATTCACTTTTTTACTTTCAAATAAAGCATATGCTGATATAAACATACAATTTAGTTCAACTGCTTGAAATCATTGAAATCAACTATTTGAAATCATTGAAATCAACTGCATTGAAATCAACTGCTTGAAATTAACTGCAGGAAATCATTGAATGTCAACTGCTTTAGCAAATTTCTCGCATGTTCTAGTTATTTTTTATTATAGGGCTAAGTGTAGACTAGAAATAATTTGTGTAAAAAAAAGTAATATTGTAAACTATTAATAACATTCACTTTTCTACTTTAAAATAAAGCACATGCCAAGATATATGCCATTTTTTCACTCAAACTAAGCAATTATTTTTTTTTTAAAATAGGCACTCTTTCTTACAGCAACAAAACTTTTTTTTTTTACAAACTATTGACAAATATAAAAAAACAATTTACTAATACTTTAAAACCTTTTGTTTTTAATGTGTTAGAATTATAAGGAATTATTGAATTAATAAGAAAAAAAAATTAAATAAATTTGTGAAAAGAACACTCATAAACAAAAGCACTTCTAAGAAAACATAAGTTTTAAATTTTCTTTCTTAAATTATAATCCATGATAATCTATGATGGGAGACTTACAAATTAGGTAATGAATTAGCTAGCAAACAATAGGAAAAAAACTTTAATAAAAACTGCAAAACTATTTCACATTCATTTGAAACTAAATTTTACATTCAATGTTTTACTATTTTACATTTCTTTAAAAACTCAAATTTTTAAAATCTTATTTAATTTAAAATTAAAATTTTTGGAAAATTTAGTTCTATAACTTTATCTCTAAATCCTTAAATAAAATTTGTAAAAAAATAAAAAATGTTATTTTTGCTAAACGATAAATTTTTTTAGTTTTTATTTAGGAAATAGATTTTATTAAATACGTTAAAACACTCATACAATTTTCTTATGTTCTAATTAGTAATTGTGACTTTCAAAAGTTTTGTTTAGATAGTTACTTTTCTTTTCATAGAATTCTTGAATTGAAAAAAAAAAAAAAAAAAAAAAAAACAAGAACTACCGATAAAAATCAATAGTGACCTCTTCGGGCCCTTTATCGGACATAATTACATCAAAAGAATATTTTTAGTCGCCCTGGACAAAATTTATTCACTTGGTGCGGTTAGACAACCACAAGTGTACATTTTTGCAATTTTTATTAACTTGTTTTAAACATTTTTTTATTTAAAATTTTGAATACTATTAAATAAATTAAAATTGAATATATTAACTAATAAACTGAACATATTAATTCAAAAATAAAATTTAATTATTTAAAAAAAATAAAATTAAAGTCTAAAAAAGTTGACCTATTGGTTATTTCTGATACGCTAATGTAATAAATTTTTTATGCTAAAGTAAAATTAGAACTAAAAAAAAAAAAATAATAACAATACTCTTTATAATTTTTTTCCTATTAATAATGTAAGATTTTCTATTCATATTTCAAGTCTTTTTTTTAGCTTTATTTTTGTGCTTTTTAAAAAAGTAGTGTTTTTTAAAGCTTTTTTAAAACCTAAAAAACACGGCTTTAAAGCATGAAAAAAAGTTAAAAAAAAAGTTGAATAATTATTAAACCAAACAATTTATCTCTTAATGTTTTTTTTTAATTTAAAAACGCAAATTTCTATTTAATTTGTTAAATTAAGTTTAACAATAAAATTCTTTTTAAAGAAAATACTAGAAATTTTAGAAAATTTAAGCATATATACGTATATTATTTCTCTCTTAAACAAAATTTTTTTTTGTATAATTTACAGAACATAAACTGTGATTATAAATTACAATAAAAATTATAATAATGATAATTCATAAATATTTAATTTGAAGAGATTATTTTCATATATTTCATATTCCCTAACAGAACATTGTTATCTATTTTTAAAATATATAACAAAGTTTATAAACAAATTTAAAATCTATAAACAAATCATACCAGAAATTTTAAGTTCTACAACTTTTATTTGCCTTCCAGCTATACTTGTTGCAATGCATGCAAATTTTTTACTGAAAGAACTTTTACAATTAATAATTTTTAAATCAGATGAACTCAATCCCTTTTGAGGCAATATACAATTTTCAGATAACTTCCCAAAAAAAGTCCAATAAACTAAAGGAGCTGGTGTACCAGTGGCTTTACAATTAATTGTTGCATTTGATTTTTCAACATAAAAAGGTAGTCCAGAAAAATAAGTTTCATGTTTGATTTTTGGAGAAACTAAAAAATAAAGCAAAATTTATAGAAAATTTGCAGTATTTTAATTATTAACAAATAAAAGTACTTATAAAATCTACTTATAAATAATTTTTACATCTAAAACAAAGCTAAGATTATGATGTGAGAGTTGAGTTTATTATTTTACAGTTGAGTTTATTATTTTATTCATTTTTTTAAATTTACAATATACAATTTACATTATTTTACAGTTGAGTTTATTATTTTATTCATTTTTTTAAATTTACAATATACATAAAATTTTTACAATAAATTACTTATAATATTGCCTTAACATATAAAATTTGTTAAATTACTTATAAATAATAATAATTTCTGATACAAATCTAAGCTTATGATTTGACACTTAAAAAAATACATTCGAAAAGGCTACCCATTTTTTTTTTTTTTTTGTAAGAACCCTCTCTTAATGGTTTAACTCCAAAACATTGAGAAACAAGGCTGCTGCACAGACTATCAAATTGAACAGATTTTTTTTTTGGTAATGTAGCTGTTAAAAAAATCTTGAAAACTATGTGAAATTATCAACAAATCTTCAGCAAAATCCATAAAACAATTTAGTTTAACAAATATAAAAGAGAATAAAAAACCTTTAACTTTTCAAAGGTTTTTTATTATGCTTGCCTAAGCTTAAAGGAATAAAATATATTAAAAAAAAAGCATACTTTTACAAAAAGCATAAAATAGAGTTGCTGAATAAGATTTTTTTCAAAGCACAACTTAAATAATAAAAAATAAGTGACAAGTATAATAAAAGGATTAAGTATAAAGTGATTATAGTATAAATTAAATATAACATTTATTTATTTTATATTTTGTTTCAAGGGTTTAATTAGGCAATCGTACAATATCTGTAAAAAGTTCTTCAAAGTTTAAAATTCGTGAACTTTGTTTTTCATGGGCATAAATTAATTTAAATTTGTTGGCGGAAAAGTTATAAAAATAAAACAAAAAAAAACAATTAACTTATGAGTACGAAAGTAATAACACTATAGTCACTAACTGTGTTATAAAAGTAATAACACTATAGTCACTAACTGTGTTATAAAAGTAATAACACTATAGTCACTAACTGTGTTATAAAAGTAATAACACTATAGTCACTAACTGTGTTATAAAAGTAATAACACTATAATAGTGTTATTACTTTTATAACTTATAACTAACATTTATAATTTATTGTTTGCTTAAACAATAAATTATAAATGTAAGTTAAAATTAATCAACCAAAATACTGTCAATTTATTTATTTAGGAGTAACTTTTTTTTTATGTTTTTAATTAATTACTCAATAAGTTAATAACAAAATTAAAGATAAAAATATATATTCATAAAATATATATTCATCAAAATATATACTTATAAAGTGCTCATTACTTGCTAGTACTAAATACAGATTTTTTATTTTTACTTTTATCATTAACTAATTGATTAATTAATTGAAAAGTTAATTTGCACATAAACTTTGGAGATCAGATATTTTTCTAGATTTTGATCACATTTTGAGATTGCTTAATTCAACTCTAGTTGGAATGACCTTTGTTTTTTTTAACATAAATGTTTTTGTTTTCTCATAATTTTTTAATTTATGAAAAAATCAACAGAACCATCTTGACTAAATATTATTTATTAAACATCATACTGCTGATGATGGTTTTAATTTAATAATTTTTTAAGATTTTAAATTTACTTTATTAACCAATTAATTAGGAAAAAAATGTTAATAAGGACATTTTTTGTGATGCTTTTTGAAGCAGTAATAATTTAAATTGTAGTTTTTTTGTTTGTTTTTGTTTTACTATCTATTTTTATCACAACAATCCCAAAATTAATATTATTCTCTTATAATATAATTATCACCTTATATAATAATATTATATAATCTAAAATGAGAGTAGTACTTGAATACTACTTATAATGATACCTTGCAAAAAGAAAATCTCTAACAAAGGGAAAAAGGGGTTTAAAAAAATTATTTCCTTTGAATTTTTAAAAAAATAACAGTACAATAACAAAATATGATACTTGAAAAAATAACAACACCTTGATGTAAAACACATAAACAGGCAGTGTAACTTTCATTCTAAACAAATTTCATTCTAAACAATTCTAATGCAATTTTGTACAAGTTCTTTTGTTGAGTTAACATGTGAGTAATAGAAAATGAACCATTTTATTAAAAATTTGTTTGGAAAAGAATTTGTCAAAAAATTTTTTTGCACTTTTTGCATAAAAAATATAAACATAATAAATTAAATAATAACAAATTATTTACTAGTACAGATATAATTTATATAAATTGATTTGTTTAAAATAGTAATTCGCAAATTGAGGGTTGAAAAAATATATGAGAGGTCGCATAAAAGTTGATAACAGATCAAATTTGGATTCAAATTTTTATTAATTTACTATGAAATAAACTCTAAAAAACTTTAAAAAGCCAAATAACTAGTAAGTTTTACTATAATTTAAAAAAAACTACCTGAAGCAAATAGGTAATTTATGTCAAAAAAAATTTTGACAATAATTTAATAAAATCTTTTATCAAAAATGATTTTAGGAAATTTTCAAGGATTGTTTGCCTAAAATAACTATTTTATTACTTATTTTAGTTGCAATTTTTTAAAATTGATATGTGTATCTAATAATTTAAATTTAAATTAAAGGCATTTACTTCAAATATTCAGTAACTATAAACAAGATAATACAAACTCCACTGTAGTTTTATATTGTCGTACCTAACATCTTTAAAAAAGTGCTCCATTCTACTTTAGCTTATAAAGAAAAATTTAGCTTATAAAGAAAAATTTTGTTAATAAAATGCAGTGTGATTAATATTGAACACAAGATTGATGAAAGAACAATAATTGAAACTTTAAAATAAATTTGCCTACCAAGAACTTGTGAATTTTCTGTACTGTTCCATGTTACAATAAAACCTGGTGAAACTTTACCACTATTGGTAGATACTTTAATATACAGTATACCAGATTTATAGATTTTTACTATATGTTTAACTTTACACAAAGATTCAATTTTGTTTTGGTAAGTAGGATCATCATAAAAAGCAACATAGTCATAGCAATCTTTGCCATCATTTCCCATATCTAAATCATTGATTTCAACTCTAAGAATTTTAGGAGCTACATCAATCACCCATCTGCATTCAACATCATTTGAATACTCATTTTCAATTAACGGAAAGTGAATTTTTCCAGACAAGTTGGTAAAATAAGTATCATTGCCACAGTTAGCCTGTAAGTCTAGAGTGAATATAAAAGCATAATAACTAATTATGTTATCAAATAAAATTAAACAATAAACTGAATTAATTATGATTTGGACTCTACTAAAACAAATATATACAAAAATACAAAACATTTATTTGAAAAAGTTTGAATAAAATATAAATTATTTCTTCAATAAAATACAAAAAATATATTCAAAAAAGTTTAAAATTTATTAGCCCCTTAGAGGTTTAAAACATTGTGAATTTATTGTAGTATAAACTTAATAACTAAGTTTGGTAAACTATTGCATAAAAAACATCTTGATATTTATAAAAATCCACAAATATTTTCCATGTATTTTAAAGGAGAGAAGATAATAATATTTCATACAGTTTTTTTTTTCCTTATTAAACTTTGGAGTTTTTACATGTTGAGTTGATATATTCATAAGATTCTTTAATTACATATATATGCAAATATGTCATAATATCAACCCCATATTTAGGAAAAATAAGATTGGCAATAATTTGCTGACCTCATTCTTTTTAAGGTCGGCATCAGGCCGGCAAAAGTTATTTGATACAAAGGTCTTACCATAAAACATAGAAACGAGGTCAGCAATTTCTTGCTGACCTCAAACATTTCAGGTTGGCTGTTAGGTCAGCATTGGCAAATGCCATCCCTATTCCAAGGGTTGTAATATATAGTATGTTAAAAGTTTATAAATATTTTATACTGAGTATAAAGACATACTAGGTTATTAAACACTTCTATTTAATCTCTTTCTTAGATTGTTCAAGTTTTTTCAGAAAATATCAAGCTTTCTGAAATTGTATTTTTAAAGGAATTTGCTTTTACAAGAATAGTGAAGATTCGCTTTTTTTATGCTTCAATGCTTAACTTATCAGCATCAGTTTTAAGAACTTTGACGAATGTTGCAAAAAATATTTTCTGCTTCTTTATAATTACAAGTTCTTCATGAATCAATTTGCGCTCCTTACTTATGTCATCTACCTCTAACTGATCCTTATTTTCTTTTAAATCTGAATTGTACAATTGCAAGCTAACCTACAGCTTTTTAAAATATATATATATATATATATATATATATATATATATATATATATATATATATATATATATATATATATATATATATATATATATATATATATATATATATATATATACACCTTGTACAAAAAGTTTAAACGCACTTGTTTTTTTAACGTATATAATTATTTTAGGGGTTGTCCATTAACTATGTCAATAAAATAGGGGGGAGGGGGTCTGAACTTTTTTGACAGTTGTTGACATGGGGGAGGGGGAAGAGGTCAATCAAAGTTGATGTCAACAATTTTTTTTTTTCTAAGTTTCATCGCTTAAATAATGGAAAATTTGTAGCGTAGCTTCGTTGTTTAGGGAGGGTAATCAAAAATTGACATAAATTTATAGAGGGGTCTCTGGAAATTTGACAAACTGTTAACAAGGGGGAGGGGGAGGAGGTAAAAACTTCAAAAAATTTGTTGACGTAATTAATGGCAGCCCCTTAAGAAATGATAACAAGTAAATTGATGAGATGTACTCAGAATTTTTATGTTTATTTATACTATGGCTATAATTTATTAATTTAGAGAGTAAAAAAATTGTATGGATATTATAAGGGAGGTGAAGGGTGATAAGAAAAGAATGAAAGTATGATATTTGTCAAAATAATTTTACCTATGAAAGTATGATATTTGTCAAAATATCATACTTTCATAGGTAAAAGAGCTGTTTTTTGCCGAAAACAAAATGGCAAGCCATTGGAATGCGTAAAATGAAAACAAGCAATAGAGATATTGGCAGACGTATTAATATTTCTGAATTTAGCATTCATACAACAATAAAAAATTATTTGTCAACTGGTAGTGTCAATGATAAACCTTGTACTGGGCGTCCAAAAAAACTGACATCACGCGATGAAAACATGCTTTACACGCTGAGCAGACATAATCCAAAAGCGGTAGTATCAAGTGTGTATCAGTATCAGTGCAGAAATTAATAGTTCGCTGGTAGACAAAACAGTTAGTTGAATGGCGATAAGTAAGTTATTACGCAAGAAAAAATTAAATTTGTTGCATGGTGTAAGAAAGCCTTTGTTGACATTAACCGAACGCCAAAGACAAAAAAATGGTGCAATGAGCGTTTAAATTATTTATTAGAGTAATGGAAAATGATTATCTTTAGTGATGAATCAAATTTCAAAATTAAAAACAGAAAAAACAAAAATTTTTATTGCTGTAAAAATACGGAAAATTATGTGAAGCAACACTTACTAAGCCGTATTCAAAAAGGTGGTGGTTCCTTTGGCATATGGGATGTATATCAGGCTCAGGCATTAATTATCATAAAATACACAAAGGAAGATTAAACCACTATGAGTATCATGATATTTTGGAAAACGCGCTTATAACTAGTCGCGATTTGTTCCAGGCTGATCAAAACTGCTTATTTCAATAAGACAAATGCTCCATGCCATACAGCACATTCGATCAATGATCATTTACTTAAAAGTAATATTCAATTCAAACCTTGGCTAGCACGATCACCAGACTTAAACCTGATCAAAAATTTATAAAGCTGGATGGATTATCAACTCACAAAAATGCAAATAACTAGTCACGAAATAATCAAACAAGAACCAAACTGTGGCTTGAAATACCAATCAAGATGATTAAAAGCTTAATTGAATCAATGCCAAGGCAAATACAAGCATGTATTAAAAACATATTCTGTCATATTCCGTATTAATATATTTCAATTAAAAGAAGTTTAAACTTTATTGTACTTTTTTCTAAGTAATCTTTTAATTACTTAAGTTTGTTATTTAATTTCAGAAAAGACTTAGTGTTTTTTTTATTCAAAGTTGTGTTTTTTTCATAATTAATAATCGGCTAAGAAAAGGAAAAAAAAAACCTGGACCCTGCCTCATGTTTTTCATTATATATATATATATATATATATATATATATATATATATATATATATATATATATATATATATATATATATATATATATATATATATATATATATATATATATATATATATATATACATATATATATACATATATATATATATATATATATATATATATATATATATATATATATATATATATATATATATATATATATATATATATATATATATTGAATATGACATTTCAGAAAAGACTTAGTGTTTTTTTTATTCAAAGTTGTGTTTTTTTCATAATTAATAATCGGCTAAGAAAAGGAAAAAAAAAACCTGGACCCTGCCTCATGTTTTTCATTATATATATATATATATATATATATATATATATATATATATATATATATATATATATATATATATATATATATATATATATATATATATATATATATACATATATATATACATATATATATATATATATATATATATATATATATATATATATATATATATATATATATATATATATATATATATATATATATATATATATATATATATATATATATATATATATATATATATATATATATATGTATATATATATATATATATATATATATACATATATATATACATATATATATATATATATATATATATATATATATATATATATATATATATATATATATATATATATATTTATATAACACAAACACAAATGTCAGGAAAAAAAAAGATATGGATTGTCCCCTGAAATTATTGGCACCCTGAAAATAATTTTATATTCTGAATAGCCTGAAAGTGTTGAGTTATAAACCAAAAAATATAAATTAGCAAATAAAGAGATTGCAAAGTCAATTTAAATAGCACCTAAACCATTAAATATTCGAAATTCTAGAAACCTTATTAAGTGGGTTAATAATTTGATCAGGGACTGTATATATAATACACATTTTTATCCTATTGACGTGTGTAAAAAACAAGTAGGCGATGTCAAATATATATCATACTGTAAATTTAATATATGTAAGAAATTAACTTTCAGAAGCACCTTTATGCTTTTAAATGAGTTTATTAACATTAAGTATTTACATGAAAGATATATCTTTAAAGATTCTGTTTGTAAACATAACCCTACTTTATATTCCTGCTCTAAACTTTATGTTTTTAAAAAATATTAATTGAGTTTAAATTGATATATTTCAAATCGTTTGAATCATTTCGTTTAAATCTGTCAACCCTATATATATATATATATATATATATATATATATATATATATATATATATATATATATATATATATATATATATATATATATATATATATATATATATATATAATATATATATATATATATATTTATATATATATATATATATATATTTATATATATATATATATATATTTATATATATATATATATATATATATATATATATATATATATATATATATATATATATATATATATATATATATATATATATATATAGTTATAGCATTCTTTATAAGTTATTATAAAAAAAATTTGAAAATAATAAAACAGACCAATAGGCCTTTTACATAAAAATTATTCTGTATAGTTTTCTGAAAAAAACAGAAAAAAATAATATTAATAATATCAATTCATAAATGTTTCATTTAAAGATTCTGTTCTTGTAAATTCAAACTTCCAAACAAAATTTAAACAGATTTCTAGAAAATATAGAAAAACTCTTTAGCCTAAAACTTTTAAACAAATCATACCAAAGATTTTAATATGACCATATTTTTCATCTGTTCCAGCTATACTTGTTGCATGGCATGTAAATATTTTACTGAGAGGTCTTTTACAACCGATAATTTTTAAATAAGATGAATTTAATCCATTTTCAATGAATATGCACTTTTCAGATAATTTCTGATAATAACTCCAATAAACAAAAGGAGATGGTGTGCCACTAGCTTCACATTTAAATATTAAATTTTGATTTAAATTGATATCATAATAAGAACTTGAAGATAAGTAAGCTTCATTTTTGATTTTTGGAGAAACTAAAAAAAAAGAAAAGAAATACTAAAACTTTTACAACATTTTATAATACCATTTTAAATAATACTCTTTTAGAATACTTTTAAAATATTAGCTTATCCCATTTACTGTGGCATTGATTTGGCGTAGAAAAAAAAAGAGTTTTTCTACAATTTTTTTTTAAGTTTGTAAAATTGTGAAAAATCACAGTTATTGTAAACCATCATAAATTGTAAGCAATTTTTTTATACAAACAAAAAAGGATAATAAAATTAAAATAAGTTAAAAATAAGAGACATATCTTAGTCAGACAAAGTTAACAGGTTAAAATAAAAATTTATCAATCTACCTATACACAGTGATATGTTGCTATGGGTTTGCTCCAGCTCAATAGAGCTGGCTGTTAAAAAGAAAGTTTGTAGAGGTGGTTCTTAATGTTTCTTTTTTAAAACAGAAATTTTTTTTAATAATTACTTTAAATAAAATCATTGCTTTATTTAAACAAAACTAACTATGAAACAATTTTTCTTTATATCTTATTATATAATATAACTTTATTATCTTATCTTAATAACTTTTTCATACATAATATAATCTTCTTCTAAAATATTTTTATTTATAAAATTATCTTCTGTAGAATTCATTGCCATACATTAAATTATGGTATGAAAAGTAATTTAGGCCCAATCAGATTATAAAACAATATGAACCAAATATCTTTATTGTTTATTTTTATTATTTTATTATTGTTTGCTTTTTATCTAAACATAATATTATAATAATTTGCATAAAATATAACATAAATGTGTATTAATGTCTCTACCTTGTGTCTCTGTTTTTATGACTAGACAACTCATTCTATTATCTTCTAATGAGGGTACAGCTCTAAACCTCAGTTTTATAGTTCTGAGGCCGGCTAATAGTCAGGTTTCCTGAACTCTCTAATATCTCTCAGACAGGTTGATTCTATCAACAGCTGTAAAATATCAGAGTACTGACAGTGTCATGTTGCACAAGGATGATGTCCCTGTTCGTACTTTTGGTGTGCATTGTCAAGGCCACATTTATAGCCCTTTATTACAGCTTTGGGTTTATTAATAGTAATGAGGCAATTGATTAAGCTATTAAGCAGTGTACTGAGTACTACCTATGCTTTGAGTCAAGTTCTTTAACAAATTTAAAAATGACTAAAGAACTAAAAACAACAAAACACAAAAAACCAATGTCATCACCAAGTTCACTAAAACTATAATTCACTAATATTCGTGGTCTTTGAAGAAACTTTTTTTTTGTTGAGTCTTTCCTCTTGCAAAGTTCACCAGATATATATGCTCTTTGTGAGACAGATTCGAATTCGGCTGCCTCATCTTGAGATCTTAGTGTTAATGGTTATCTTTCATTAATTTGTAAAGACTCTAACAGTCACATGTTTGACCAGAGCATTTACATTTGTAAGAATTCACTTATTTATCAGAAAACTAGGTTTGAATCCACCAAATATTCTTTTATGTGCTTTTGTTTAGCATCACTTAACTCTATCGCCTTTCTTTTTGTTCTATATCGCTCTGCTTTATCTCAAGACTGCACTCTTTTTGATTTTATTTCTGATCAAATTGACTAATTCCTCTCACTTTATCCATCAGCCAATATGGTTGTTGTTGGTGGCTTTAATGCTATTCACACTTAATGACTTGGCTCAAGTGTCAGTGACTCTGTAGGGCAATAAAGCCTACAACTTTTGCCTTTCTCAACCTTTAACTCAAATAGTCAACTTTCCAACTCGTTTTTCAAACAACCTAAATCATTTACCTACTCCTATTAACCTTATTTAAATTAGTCTATTATTATTATTATTCTATAAACTTCATCTATTATTAATTTAATTTACTCTACTCGACTTAACTCTTTTTTCCGATACTATTCAGTGCTCAGTTTCTGATCCTAGTCAGTGCTTATTAAAAATATTTCGTCTTCCTGCTGATAAATGTGCCTTTTACATAACTTCTTAGATTCAGGCTGGCACAGAATTGTTTATTTCCCCTCTTCAATTCTAAGTCAATTCATACTCTTCTCAAAACTTTTCCTCACATTGTGCTGCTGCAATTTAAAATCGAAACCATTACTTCAACATCTATCAGCAAAACAATTCTCCAGAAAACAGAAGTAATTTACTATTGCTAGAAACCATTGTAAAAAGATTGTGTCTAATGCCAAAGCACGTTATTCTCAGGTTATGAAATCTTGTATTTCATCTGGAAAATTAATTGCTTGTGACTTCTGGATTATCTTTAACAGCATCAATAGTAAGGGCAAATCTGTAATTTCACCTCTGTTGTACGGTTCAGACTTTGTCATGTCACCTAAATTGTAGCTGAATTGTTTGCTAAGAACTTTTCATCAAAATCATCTCTTGATTCCACAAGTTGCGTTCTAATTGATATAGCTGACAAACAGGTTGATCCATTGCTTGACATTTGTATCACTCCAGTTTTTGGATCTAAAGTGATTTCATGCTTAAACTCTTTTACAAATAGTCTTGCATAAGTGTTCGCCAGAGCTGTCATCTATACTTTCAAAACTATTTAACAAGTGATTATTGGAGTCTTGTTTTCTGGCATGCTGAAAAGCGGTATTTGTTATCCCTATTTTCAAACATTCTGGAGTGCAATCTATCTTGTCTAACTACTGTCCGATTAGTCTTCTTCCTATAATAAGCAAGGTTTTTGAGTCTTAATTTAACAAACACTTAATCTATTATCTTGAATCTAACAACTTACTTTCTGACCATCAAAATGGATTTCAATCTTCTTGTTCTAAAGCTATTTTCAGTGTGTTAGCTAGCCCAATAACACCGTGTATACTGCTGAATTCCCAAGGGGTTTAAAACTCCCAAAATTTAACAACCTTTATTATCATTATTTTTTTTTTTGAAATTAAAGGAAGTTCAATAAAGTATTTCCCAATATTTTGTGAAACAATAACCAATAAATATTCTCAATATCACAAAAACGTGGTAAAATATATATTTCTGGCTAATACATTGGTTTTGCTAACAGTAATAACCAATAGGTTTTATCGTGCATTAGATAGAGGTGGAGAGTTTAGGGCTATTGCACTTGACATTTCTAAGGCTTTTGATAAAGTTTGGCATAATGGTCTTCTCCATAAGCTTTCTTCTTACAGTGTTTCAGGCAACAACTTTAAGATTATTGAACCCTTTCTTTCCAATAGTAATATAGTTGTCCTCAATGGACAGCACTCTTATTCATATCCTGTAACTTCAGGGGTTCCTCAAAGTTCAATCCTTAGCCTTTTTAATTTAAATTAACAATCTTCCAGATCTTCTCATATCTAAGGTGGCATTGTTCGCTAATGATACTGCCATTTATTCTTGTCTTGATAAGAAGCCAACACTCTCTGATTGCTTGGAGGGGACATTTGAGATTGAAAAGGATCTCACTTCTGCTACAGAATGGGGCTCACAATAGCTGGTGAACTTCTATTCAAATAAAACCCAATTTTTTAAGCCAATTGTTACTGCAATAAGTTAGATATTTCTATATTTATGAACGGTGATGTACTCAACAAGTCATCTACCCTTTATCTTCTAGGATTAACTCTTACTTCCAATCTTTCTTGGAAACCATATAAAAAATCCATTTCAAAATTAGCATCTGCTATGTGGTTGCACCTTTTTATTGTGCTCAACAGTTTCTTACTCCGGATTTTATTCTTTATCTCTTTAAATCATAAATCTGTCATTGTATGGAATACTGTTGCAATATCTATGGCGGATCTTCAAAAACCTTTCTCTTTTACATAAAGGTTACAAAAACAAATTATAAACATAATTGGACCTGCTCTTGCAACCAATTTCCAACCGTTATAATGTTGCTTCTTTTTTCCTTTTCTACAAATACTTTATATCTGGGACGGATCTTCAAATGAAGCCCTTTCTCTTTGAGACGACGTAATAATAACAAGCACTATTCTAAAAATTAGTGTGTCTTACTAAAATTCATTCTTGTGTTACTTGTCATTCAATTAAGTCTTATCTTTTCTGTGACTAAAAAAAAAAAACTGCTCAAAAACTCTTATTCGTCTAGTTTATTTCCTCAGACATTAGTTTTTTGGAATTTGCTTTCTTTATCTTGTTTTCCCTATTAATATAATTTGCAATCTTTTAAGACGCCTGCCAAACATCATTTTGCTTTATAAAGTTTACCTTTGCTCTTCCAGTAACTGTTAACTCTAATAGTAGTTGATTGTAGCCTTGTTGGAAGCAAAGATGTTAAAAAAAAAAATTCAATTTTTTATTTTCGTAAAATATAGTATTTCTTATTGAAATTATAATTTTTATAAATTAATAATGATAAAGAGGTTATTGAGTGTTATTATATTTTTTTATATAAAACAAGAAAAAGATAACAAACATAAATACTAGTTTGATTTTAGAATAACCTAACTTTTTAAATTAAATTACATACCAAGTACTTGTGAATTTACTGCTGTTGAACTGTTCCAAGTTAGTGTAAAACCAGATGCAACACTATTATTATCAGTAACTACTTTTATATACAGTATACCAGATTTAGCAAACAGAACAACATGTTTATTTGAACAATATCGACTGATTTCATTTTGGTAAGTAGGTTCATCAAAAAAAGCAATATAGCCATATTTACATTTGTCATTATCTTCCATATCTACATAATTAATTTCAACTCTTAGTATGTTAGGAGCAACATCAACCTCCCATCTGCATTCAACACTATTTGAATACTTGTTTCCAATTGATGGAAAGCGAATTTTTCCAGACAAGTTAATAAAAGTAGTATTACTGCCACAGTTAGTCTTTAAATCTAAAACAAATGTATAAGTATAAAAATTAATGTAAAGTAATTTATGTAACAGTTTGATTTGAATAAAAAAACACTTTGATCAGAATATAACTTAATTGAGGAGATTATTTAATTTGCATTCACTCCCAACAAGGCTGCAAGCAACCACTATCAAGTTGGGAGTTACTAAGAAAAAAAAAGAACGAGTTAAGCCCGTTCTCCATTCAGAACTTTTTGCGCTTTGGAGAAGCAGAAAAGTTCTTTGAGCATGAGCAAACAGTTTTTTTAAACCCGTTCTCCAATCAGAATTTTTTGCGCATGCTCAAAGAACTCATCAGTTCCTCTATAGTTCCCTTCGCAAATAGTTCTGAATGGAGAACAAGCTTTATAGAGCAAGGAAACGGTTGACAGAAGATTTGAAAAGTTGAAGGTTGTATGAGTCAGGAAAACATGAAGATGGAAGAGAGTTCCAAAGGATTGAAGTGCGGGGGAAAAAACTAGATGAATAAAAGTTTTTAGAGCATGCAGGGACAGATACAGTAAACGAATGAGACTTAGCTGAATGACGAGTAAAACGAGAATGAATTTTAGTTGATGGAACTAGAGATCATAACTCCTTTGAGCAGTGACCATGATAGTGTTTGTAGAAAAGAGAAAGAGATGCAACTTTACGACGATGGGAAAGAGGTTCAAGCTTAGCAGATAGTCCAGGTCCAACAACATTTACAATGCGTTTTTGGACCTTGTCAAGAAGAGAAAGTGAACCGTTAGAAGAACCAGCCCAAATATGACAACAGTATTCCATACAGGGACGAATAAGAGATTTGTAGAGGTAGAGAATGATATCAGAAGTAAGGAAATGGCGAGCATGATAAAGATAAGCAACCATAGCAGAAGCTAATTTAGCAATCGATTGTATATATGGTTTCCATGAAAGGTCAGTAGTAAGCTATAATCCAAGAAGACGTAAAGAGGACGACTCAGTAAGAGGATTGCCATTTAATAAGATTTAATAAGAAAACATGTTTAACTGAGTTTTTTAGCATAACAAAAGGGCTCATTGCTAATACTTTTTTAAGACACCCGTAGTGGTGTATCTAAAACAAGGTTTAAATAAAAACATTTTTATTGAGAAAAAAAAACAGAAGCGTGTAATTTTTTAAAAAAACTAAATAAACCATGGTTTATTTGGTTTAAAATCCTTTTTTTTTTAAATAAGCTGTGTTTAGTCAACTTCAATTAACAAAAAGTTTTTTTTTTTTTGTCCATAAACTACTTTGCGATTTTAGGAAGGTCAGGGTAGTGGTTTTGTGACAACTTGTATGGGATTTGTTACAAAAGAACTGCAATGGAAAGGAGGGGGTCAAAAGCAGTCAAATATTGCGTGTAGTAATTTATGGACAACCTCATAGACATGAAGTATGAAGTACATTAGAATAAAGGAGAATTATTTATTAGACAAAGCATATTTTGACAGTTGTCAAGACAAAAATAAAGATTAATTAGAGGAATATTTAAAAATAAATAAGACAGGCTATACACCCACAACAATAATAACAATAAAAATAAATTTAAAAAAATAAAAAAAATAAAAAAAAATAAAAAAAAAAAATTTTTTTTTTTTAATTATAAATATGAACGAAGATATAAATCACCAGACAAAAACTTGTAAATCAAAAAACGGACCACAAAATAAAAAATCTGATAACAACAATAAGAGGCTGGAAAAAAAACATTAATGCTAATGTGTAAACATAATTTGTGTAGTGATTAAGTAATAAACATCTCCTCAGAGTCGCGTCTATTATTACTGGCGTTTCGATGAGGATCAGCATTTTACTTGAGTAAATTATGATTATGATTATAGCATGAACATGTTTTTTAATATTACATTTTATATATATATTATTATATATTATATAATTATTTTTAATATTATATAATATATTATATAATAAACATTTCATTTTAACAATTATGTTATATATATTTTGTTTTGCATTTTTGAAACATATTTTGATAATTTTAAAGAATTTTACCTAAAATTAAAAGATCTGTTTGCACTTAATTAAAAACATTTGAATGTTTGCAATAAGATGCAATAAAAGCAAAATTCTAATGACTTTCAATATTTGGAAGGGTTATATCATCAGATAAGTAAGTGCTACAGACTGAACCTAGTATAAGTCTTAAAGGTTTTAACAAAAAACTTAAAAAAAAAAGGATTAATAGCAATTTTCACAAATAATTACACTCTAAAATGAATTCAGGAGGAAAATTGCATGATTTATTGCAAATTTTGTTTATAATTACTTGATAACTAACTCAAATTATCTGATTGCTATAAAACATTTAACTGAAAACCCAGTCATTTTTGCTGGAAACTCAGTTGTGCATCAAAATCGATAACTTTGTCATATGTGGAGGTTTATCATAAGAAAATAAAAGTCAAAAGGTTTATGTTATGTGCTACTGTTGAGTGCTATCGTTGTGATGTTTTGTATTGATAGACACCTTGGATTACTTTCCTGATGGTGTCTATCGTTAAAAAGTACTTAGTTTCAATACTAGAACTCAAGCTTCATTTACTAAAACCCTAGAGAAAACATTTTTGCACAAATATAATATTCATTTCTCAATTTGATTTTTTAATTTTTGTTAAGTGTTGTTAACAAGGTTGCTCTTTAAAAGATTTTATAACTAGCACTTAAATTTAAATTTGAAAACCTTTCCAAAAAATGTCTTATAATAAAGTGGGATCGTAATCTACTTTTTATGTTTTTGATTAAAAATGAGATTTTGTTTCAAAGTACCTAAAATGTTATGGGATCATAAAACTTATATTTTAATCATATACATTTTAATAAATGTTTAATCATCTCTTCTGGCAGTTCTTTCTTTTTTTAGAAACTGTCTTTATAACAGATGCTGTGACATTGGCAACATGATATATGTGATATTTAACAAAAATGATTGTTGCATTAACAAAACTAATTTTAATATCGCTAAGGGTTACCAAAATAAACTTTCCAGATAATAATCAAAGATTTTCTTCTCAAAAATAATTTGCGTCTTTTTCAGTGAAAAGATTTTTTTAATCACAAAATACATAAAATGCTTGCTATAAAGACAATATTTTAAAGTTGTTTAAACACTATTGATATGTTTTATGTGCTTGGACAAAAATGTGAAAAAATTTTTTTAATTGTTGTTAATTTGCATGTTACATGTTTTTTTTTTTTTATAAGCATAACATTTATATTATTTAACATAAATAATATACATATTATTTATGTTGGTATATTTTTAACACTCGGTTACAAATTAAAAACTGATAACCACCTGTGTTACAGCAGAAAATATGAATATTGTTAATATTACAAATATATAATATAAACCTAACAAAGCATTAAAAATCATGGATGTAATAGGTAAAAAAATAATGGTGCCATAATGGCCAATTAAAATTAAGTAGTGGATAAATGGTGATCATCCTGCAATAACCAATGACATTTTGGGGAGCCACAGACCTGCACTAACGTCACTTAACAAGAGTTAAATTTAGAGGTTTATCAATTATTAGATTTTCTTTAAACAAGAGTTAAACATTTAGATTATCTTTCTTTTTTAAATGCATAATTATTCAATAGTGTGTGTTTATATGGAAACTTACTATTTTTAATTTATTAAAAGAAACACTCGAATTAAACACGTATTTACTAAACAATTGTTAGAAGTTATTACTTTATTTAAAAAGCCTGTCATAGTATCAGGGCCGGTGCCAGAGTATTTGGCACCCTAGGCAAATCTGACACACTGCGCCCCCAACTTACTTTCACAAAGAAATGTTTAAGTTCAGAAGAATTTATACATGCATAATCTTAAATAAACGTATATTTGTGTAACTTTATATTATATTCACAAATAATTCCAAATCTTCACTTTTCACACTTTTGTTTTTGCAAATGTAGAAACAAGTTCCGTCAGTCAATGTTTCTTGCAATTCATTTGACAGAGTAGCTAATCCAGCAAGTCTTTCTTGCTGAATAGACATTCTCAAAAATGTTTTTATCAGTTTGAGTTTTGAGAAGCTTTGCTCACCGCTAGCCACGGAAACTGGAAGTGTCAAGAGGATTTTTAAAGCTATAACAGTGTTGGGGGCACAATCTGTTACATAATTTTTAATATAAAATTTAGTAAATCTAGTTGCAATGTACAACTTGCAAACGTGCTAAAATTTTCTATAAATGAGTAATAAAAATTTTGTATTGTATTTATTACTTTTATTCACAATACATGACTTCTTTGATAAAAAAATAATAAAGATGAGGTTTAAGGAACTTTATGCGGAAACTTATAATTCAATTAAGAAAAAGTTGGACATTTATTACACTAATGATAGCATTGAGACAAGTAACAAAAAAATTGGTTAACAAAATCCAGATTGAGTTAGACATAGCAGCACCAGTAAAAACAATGTCAAAAATCGGAGATTTTTGCCAAAAAAAGAGTGGATGAACAGAGAATTGCTTGAATCGAGAAAGTTTATTGCAAATTTAAGCTCTAAAGTTAAAAGTGGAAGACATGGCTTAAAGCATATCTTAGTTCAAAATAAGAAAAGTTATTAAAAAAATATCTATATTCAAAAAAATAACCTCTTTAAGCAACAGCTGATAAATTATTTAGGCGAGAGTAAAAAAACGTGGATTGTTCTTAACAAAGCTCTTCAAATATCTTGTAATGATGATTCAATAAAACTTGAAAAAAATAATTTATTAATTGAACCAGAACTTGAAATAGCAAATTTATTTATAGACCACTGGTATCATGTAACCCAGTACAACTTGCCCCATGCCCTGATGCCATGTAGAGTTGCAATTGTAGGTGCAATTCTACGTTCCATGTAGAACTGCAATTGTAATTGCAATTCTTCATTGAATCATTAAGCAAAGTTTTATTTTTTCACTGTATCTGCTCTAAAAACTTTTATTTGTCTGATTTTTCCTTGCATTTCAACCCTTTAGAACTGAATTGGCAAAGACTTCCATTTTCTCCAATATAACAGAAGGGTCTATTTTTTCATCTTTGGTTAGACTTAATGATTCATAAATGTTTCTGAAGAAAACGTATATCTTAACGTAGCAGCTTGATATGCAAATGGTTTTTTCTATAAATTTGATAACAAAACATAATCATGCCATTTCTCAATCCAATAGCAAAATGCAGCATACCTATCTACAGCTAAGTCTAACATTGGAGGAGAAACACCAGCTTTACTACTTTCTATCATTTTTTATAAATAGATTATCAAGATTAAACCAGATAATTATTAATTACTATAAAACTTCATTTTTGCATGTTTATTTACATACTCGTAGCGCCATGTTGTGTTCATAATATATTCTCTCTTAAAAGACTGGCATTGATCTATGAGATCAATGATCAAGCTGTGATACATGTATATAAATATGACACAGTTACATGCTAATATAATACCATCGCATAAAAAAGGTGACAAACTTAAATTAGCTAACTACAGGCAGATTTCTTTAACATTATTTGCATACAAAGTCATGGAAAGTATTATCAGAGATGAAATAATGAAGCATTCTAACAATAATAATTTAATCTTTTTTTTTTTCTTTTTTTTTTTTAGTTACTCACCTCCGAGAAGGCCAAGAAGGTCACTACAGACAAGGAGGCTACTTAATAGTGGTTATAACCCTCTCTCAACTCTATAACTCCGAAACACAAACCTTGACGAACAAGGCCGCTTCGCGGAGAAACAAGTTGAGTAACAATGGTATGGTGTAACAAGTGATTTGTTGAACTGGTGCAGAGTTTTCTAAAAAATTGGTTACAACAAGTAATACTAGGATAAAATATTTTTAAATAGATAGTGTTGTTCCTCATGGATCAGTAATTAGACCATTATTATTTATTTTATACATAAATGATATAATGTTAGATATAAAAAATGAATGTAAACTATATGCAGATGATACAAATTAATATTTACACTAGATCAAAACAGCAGTACAAAATATTTACAAAAAGATCTAAACAAAATGGTCCAATGGATAAAAAGATGGTTAAAAAAATATAATAATGACAAGTGTAAGGTTATGCATATTGGAATAATAATCCAAATAAGGATTACTTGATGCATAATAATTCCCAAAATAAAGCATATGCCATTAAACTAACTAAAACAACTTTAGAAAAAGATCTTGGTATATATGTATCAAATGTCCTATACTGGAATTACCACATTAAAAACACAGTCAATAAAGCAAACGAAAAGTTAGGCCTAATAAAACACTCTTTTAAATATTTAGATAAAACAGGTATAAAATTACTATTTACTTCATTAATTAGACCTCATCTTGAATATGGAGCACCATTATGGAATCCACATTTACAAAAACATATTAAAATGATTAAACAAATCCAACAATGAGCAACTCGTAACCACTAAAAGGTTTACCATACAAAAATAGATTAAACAAAATCAATATTTCGACATTGAAAAATAGAAGGTTGAGGGGTGATATAGTGCAACTATAAGGTTTATGAATAACTTAAATGTTATTAATTGGTGCAATCCTCATATATTCATAGAAAATTCTATTACAAGAGGGCACAATAAAAGAATATGTAGAAAACAAAGCAAGAAAACAAACAGTCGACTTTTTTATAAGTAGATTAGTGGATAAATGGAACCATTTACCACAAGAAGTTGTCGATGCAAAAAACATAAATATATTCAAAACCTTTTATGAAAATCAAATAAACACCTGTAAAAAGCTGTTACAGTCTAAGATCTACTGTTCTAGGACTCTATACACAATAATTTGTATCACAGTTTGTTTGTTTATTTTATTTATTTATTGTGTCTATATGCAAATAAATCAACAAATCTATAAAAAAAAATTATTTGTTTATATTAGTTAAATTTCACATAATTCGCATACTCTAATAATTGTAGAATTAACTCATTCAAGACACTATTAGGCTAATAACACTGCAACAGGAAAATACTTATACTGGCATAATTTTTACTACATAAACTGTTGTTTGAAGGCATTATTAAAACATACAATATCAAATTCTGGGTCTTGAATTATAAAATTTATTATTAACTGAATGTTATTTATTTACAAAAACAATGTTGCAATACTTAATCAAGGTTTCTAAATAACAAATTGAAATCACCTCTACTTTACAAGTTTATTTAACTTTATTATTCATTACACTATTTTATTCATTATAATTTATAAAATTTCTTTTTTACTTTGTTAACTTTATAAAGGGAATCTTCAACTTTAAAGACAAGTTGTGTTATTGAAGCTACATTGTTGAATAATTTGTAAACTAACTGATTTGAATTAAATTAACAGCTTTTATTGTTTGTTTTGTTTACAAATAAAAAAAATAAGAAATTTGAAAAAATCTTCAATAATTTTGAATTGTCTTATTTGTCATTATATTTTTTCATTAAAAAAAACCTTACACTTCACAATTCAAACCTTACATTTCACAATTCAAACCTTACATTTCACAATTTTATTTATTTTATTGTAAAAACCTTAATGGCTTTAAAATATAAAAAATATTAGAAAAGCATACCAGTGGCAAAGACACTTGAATCTAACAAAAACCATAATTGAAACATCCAAGCAAAAGTTTGCCAGTATATCTAAAAACATAAAATAAAACTTAGACACTTTGTTATCCTAATATATTCACAACAATATTCTTACGTAAATTTTTACAGTTGGTTTCGAATAAGGTAGAGAATAAATTCAATAAGTCCAATATTTTCAATTATTTTTATAGCAAATTTAAATTGTTTTATCTAACTACATACTACAGGGTGGGGATTTACAATTCTCCTCTTATTATAGAAAACTGTTATTGATAAACCTATGTTCCAATGAATTTGCTTACAAAACTCTTAAATTATAAAATGTTATAACTTGTCTTCTTGTTTTGTGGTTAAATACTTCATATATTTCAAACATTTGAAATGTAAAATTATTGACAAGTTACTATTTTTTCTCTGCCAAGAACTGATTATATTATCAATAAGAATGATTTTTTTTATTAAATGATTTTCTCTATTAAATGATTTTCTTTATTAATAATTTTCTTTATTAAATATTGGATATAAGTCTAAAGAGCTTAAAAATAAAGTCATCTAAACACTTTTTAGTTTTAAATTTCCATTAGAAAACTGACAAAGACTATCTTACAACAATGCTGTTAATATCTTGGATTCATAGCTTACAAGCTAAAATTAAAGAAATAATTCCTGAATATATATTCAGCATTACTTAAAAACTTAGAGTTTTTGTTCATTATATTTGAATGGTAAAAAAGGTTAACAAAAAAGTAATTATTTATTTTGTTTGTTTTATTGTCTAAAACATTGTATAATTATATATCACTATATAATAATTGAAGTTTATGTTATTTTTAATATAAATTATTTATGTACTAGTACAAATTAAATTTTAAAAAATACTATAGGAAGCATTTAAAAAAACCTAAAAAAGAGACATTAAATTTTTTTAATTGATAAAAAATATATACTCTTTTATATAGATAATATTTTTGTTTAACTTTTTATAGTTACCATTGAATGAACATAACAATTGCACGCTTAAAACATTAAATGTTAAACAAAATTAAAAATTGAAAATTAGCAAATAAACAGGTTAAAGACTCAGTTAAATGTAGGATGTGATGTCAGTTATTGAAAAGTATGGTTGTATTCCAACATAAAATTATACAAAGATCATAGTGTTTCTTATTTAGTGTTTCTTTGTTTGTTTTTTTTATTACATTTTAAAAATTAAAACAACCCATTATAAAATATGCAATAAAGAAATATATTAAAAATTTACAAAGATAATATTAGGCAATAAAAGAACAAGGGGACTCGTAGAAGACTGTAAGGTTTTGTTGTTAAATTACATGTTAAAACTTTTTATCAAACATTCACAAAATAAGTAAAGAAGTTTATAATGGAGAATAAGATAAATAAAAGAACTCAAGCTTTCGAGCTATCATAGATAAAAATATAATTTAGTTTTAAAAACATTTAAAAAATTCAAAAAAATGTAAAAAGTATAAAGATTTAAATATAAAGTTTTATAATTACAAAAACAACAATTGTTAAACAACAATTAATAAATTGTTTAATTTAAAAGCAGTTAAAAGAAAATAGATATATTTAAGGGCAGATCCAGCATTTTTTGGTCTTTAAGATAACTAATTTCAACAGGGAGCAAACTTCAAACATTTATATGTTTATACTTATGTCAAATAAAGATGCTTTGCAATGATTGGAGCCTGAGAACAAAAAAACCCAAAATTTTTGCTCTTACCCCCTCTTTACCTCTGCCTTAAACGTGAGAGCAACAAGTTGATAAAATGTTATAAACTTTAAATTTCATAAATTATTTCAGCATTCAAAAATTATGACTATCTAAACTTTAAACCCCCTTCAAAATTTGTAACCCCCTTTGAGGGAGTTACAAATTTTATATATTTATTATTTTTGAACGCTAAGAGATGGTATGAAACTTAAAATTTATCAATGAATATAACTCTAGTTAAGAATAATACAAGTAATATTTTATCAACTTGTTGCTCTCTTGTTTGGAGCAGTGTAGTAAAAATTTTGGGGCTTTTTTTTTCCAAGACTCCAATTAACGCAATTTTTTGCAAAGCATCCTTATTTGACATAAGTATAAACATATAAATTTTTGGAGTTTGCTCCCTGCCTGGAAGTTAGCAATCTCAAAGACCAAAAAATGCTGGATCCGCCCTTGGTTATATCATCTATTTAAAAAAATGACTTTTTAAATTTTTTGTTTAAAAACGCAATAGCTAAACTCTAGAGAAAAGTCAAAGTTTTTGAAAACTTTTTAAAAAACTATTTTATTCCAAAAAAAAGCTCCTCAAAATGAAATACAATATTTCCCAAAAGTAGTTTGATAAACTGATTGATCAATTTTATTATCATTTCATAAATTGTATTTAGTTTTTCTTATTTTGGTATACTAATTATAAAAGGTTACAGGGATAGAATGCTTTTACATTTAAACATAAAGCAAATATCATTAAAAGTATTAAGCCATATGTATAAAAAAAAAATTCAATTAAAAGATGCTTGGCATTTGTAAACCTTGGCATTAGCAGCATGTTTCTGTTGACAATAAAGAGGTTCGAGTTTATTTTTATTAGTACAACCATACAAAATGTTTGCATTTGTGACAATGAATGAGTAAAAACATAGTTTAAGCATAGAGTTTTTTAGAAAACTCTATGCTTTATACAAAACTCTTATGGAATGAATCAAATATTTTAATTCATAACTTTAAGTCAGGTTTTCATCAAAAAAAATACCAAAATAATAAATAAATATCACACATTTTAATTCATAACTTTAAGCCAGGTTTTCATCAAAATAAATACAAAAAAAGTTAGTAACTATGGCTTTTTTTATAAATTATTATATTAATAATACATTTTTAAATAAGTGGCGTGTCACGTAGTATAAAATGTTTTTTGTGATTAGGATAGAAAAAAATCATTTTTTATTGTTAATATTAAAGGACAGTTTTTTGGACCAATAAAAAACTCTTAATTTGACAATTTTCAATTTACAAATTATAGTAGGGGAGAACAGGTAGGATTTATACAGAGGGAGCATTTGTACAGAAGGCATATTTAGATCATTCTTTGTTTAGACACATTTATATTTATGTGCGTTTGAAGACCATTCATGCATAAAGGCTAACAGCTTAGTGCCGTGGCAGTGCCATCATAATCGTCATTGGAACAAGTCGATACATGTGTTTGCATTGCTAAAGTAATTTTACAAATAATCTTTGAAAACATTTGTTAGTAATAATTTTTGATCCAATTAATGAAATAATTTATTATGCTTTTTGTATAAGTGTCTTATATTAATATTTAAACAATAATTTTCTAATAACCTTATCCATTATTTTTATTTTCAATTTATAAGTTAAACACATCATAGTACTGACTTGTTAGCTTTTTTCAAAACTAAACTACAATATTATTAAAGCAAGATATTTAGGTTATTCAAGAGCATTAAAATTATTTTAAAATAGCAATTATTTTTGCTTTTATACGACTTTTGATAATAAGTGTACGCATCCTACCTGCTTTCCCCTAAAGATTGCCAAATTAAAAAAAAAATTGGCCTACTTAATCTACTACTACTACTATTATTACTTTAATTAGGTATTTTTTTCATTTTAATTTGGAAATTTTCACTTTAATTTGTAAAGTAAAAATTGCCAAATTTAAATTAAAAGATGCCAAAATAAAGTGAAAGTTGGCCAACTTAAACCCACAAAGGTGTAGTTTTTAATTCATATTATGAAATAGTAAATAGAAATTAGTTTATATCGTTTGCAAATATTAACTAGCTGTCATTAAAATTGAGGCTTTTTGAAGATTGTTAATAGAAATAAGAAAAAGTATATATATATATATATATATATATATATATATATATATATATATATATACTCTTGCATGTCTCTTGCATGGCATCAAAACAAGTTTCCCATAAACTGTAGTTTTAAAGAGCGCGTTAATAAACCAGACCAGAAAAAAATTTTAAAATTAAATTTTTTTTTTAATTGATAGACTGCCTGGCCAAACCAAACCCTCAGTCGATGTAGCAGCACTCTCTTGCGAGTCAGGCTATTTGTCAGTCGTTGTAGCAGCACTCCCTTGCGAGTCAGGCTATTTGTCAGTCGATGTAGCAGCATTCCCTTGCAAGTAAGGCTATTTGTCAGTCGATGTAGCAGCACTCCGTTGCGAGTCAGGCTATTTGTCAGTCGATGTAGCAGCACTCCGTTGCGAGTCAGGCTATTTGTCAGTCGATGTAGCAGCACTCCATTGCGAGTCAGGCTATAAGATAGTCGATGTAGCAACATTTACGCATGTTTTAAAAATGTTTTTTATTAAATCAATAACAAAAACACCACTAATTAAAAAAAACTTTCTAGTCGTTATAATTGCGGTTTTTTAAAAAAATTTTAAAAAACAATTAAATTTAATGTACTTCCGCATAAATTAATTGCTTTGACATTTCGATGACAATCAAAAACAGCTTAAGAGACGAGGTAATTAAAATTGTAGTAGAAAGAGACTTTTTTTACATTAAACGACTCTTTCGACTACACTGTAAGGATATATATATATATATATATATATATATATATATATATATATATATATATATATATATATATATATATATATATATATATATATATATATATATATATTAGAATGTATTTTAGCCCAAGCTACAAATTGTGCTAACAAAGAAATTAGCTTTCATCTACTTTTAAAAATAAAACTATTGTCTGTTTTTATTTCAATTAAAAACTAATGTTGATCAAACATTATTTTGTAAATTTAAAATGTTTTTTTACTTACTTGGTTGTTGAACATCATAAACTATATAGGTGAATGCTTGCCAGAACTTTAATTAACAATATGAAATCTAATAAAAAAGTAAGTGATGGTTTTAAAAACTATGCAACAATGAAATTTAAAAAAAATATTTATGCATAATCAAAACTCAGTTATTATTTAAAAAATTGTTTATTCTTGAAAAAAAAACAGCCTTAATAAAACAAAAATAAGAATGGAAAACTTTGGAAAACAATTTACAACTAAAAATATGTACAAAAAAGTGGCAATATAATACTTAAAAAGATTTTTAGGGTATTTTCATTCCCAAGTTCTGATAAGTGAAAATTTTAGCAAAACATTGCTTATGACTTATATATAAACCTACAAAAGTTTTGAGTTTAAAATTTGTCCAAACAGTTATGGTGGACCTGGCATCATTTTTTCTATTAAGGCAATATGTGGTTGACAATAACTACAGTTTATTACTCTTATATTTTATCAATAATTAGCAAAAGTTAAATAATAATAACCAGTAGTTATTGTTATTAACATAATATTTTAAAAATAAAATGTAAAATTATTCATTAGCAGACATTGTTTAGTAGTTTTATTAAAAATTTATGACATAAGTCTATAGTATAAATTTATGTCAACATTTACAGGTTATGTCAAGATTTATAGACTATACAGGAAAGTTTTTTGATTACCTTTTTTAGTCTACATTAAATTAATTATCAATCAATCACTATATTTTCCCTTTTTCCAATAAATTTCATTTACAATATTATATTTAATATAATAATATATAGTATATATATATATACATATATATATATATATATATATATATATATATATATATATATATATATATATATATATATATATATATATATATATATATATATATATATATATATATATATATATATATATATATATATATATATATACATATATATATATATATATATATATATATATATATATATATATATATATATATATATATATATATATATATATATATATATATATAATAAAGCAGTGGTTTTATTGTTATTTTGTATTGTTATTGTCAATAACAATACAAAATAACAATAAAACCACTGCTTTTAGCTATTAAATTGTCAGTGTTTCTACTTAATATTAGGCTTTGTTAAGACATGGAAAAAGATTATGATATTATAAAAATATGGATTATCACAAGATTAAAACAATGGGAAGGAAAATTTTTTCGAAAAACTTAGATTGTTGAACAAAGGGGTTTACTCAAATGCTCTTAGGAATTATTTACATATTGGGTGATAATACCCCATGTACCAAATAATTATTGGGTATTCATGCATATACAGATTAACTCGATAAATGATCAAAAAACTGTATGTAAATACCCTATAATATATTATTGGGTAGTATAGAGTTTTTTGATCATGAACTTTTTTACCAAATTAATCTGTCACTTAATCTAAACAAATCCTGTCAGACCTATCCTAACTTGTTATGTCTAAATTAATTGATACTTAGGTAAGAAACAAGGGTTGGTACTTGGCTGATCGGCTTTCAGCCTTTCTACAATATTTATTTAAATTTTATTGAAACAACTGTATGAAATTAGGATATTTTTTCAAAACCTTATATGCGTAACATTAAATGATTTGTTTATAATTACTTTGGTTATAAAACTTGTCCACATTAAAATATGTTATAAAACATGTGTTTTAGATTTTCTACTATTTTTGAAGCAACTCAACCACGTGTTTTTTTATTTGTTATTTTTGGATAATGACGCATAAGAGAAGGTTTGTTTTCAGTAGTGATTTGACTGCACTTTTTAAAGTTTTTCTTTTGAAATAGCTTAACACAAGCTGATATAATAAAATATATATAATAGATTTTTCAAAGATTAAGGTTTCCCATTAGTCTCTTTATATAATAAAACAAAATAAAAGTAAATTATATGGATAAGTCGTATATAATAAATATATTTAATATTATAATAAATCTAGTAAAGTCGCTTATAATTAATATAGTAAATTATATTGATAAGTCGCTCATTAAGTAATTATATTGATTATGTCGCTCTGACGTCATACATAAACAATTACATCTTGACGTCAGAGCGATGGTAATTATTAACAAATCATTCGATGTTACCAGGGACGTATTGCTAGATAGGCATTTAACTATTTGTTTAAAAACCAAGGTATGCGCGCTTGGAATTGTAATAAATAACAATAACCAAACAATAAGATATATTATAAATATATATATAAATATATATATATAAATATATATATAAACATATATATATAAATATATATATATATATATATATATATATATATATATATATATATATATATAAATATATATATATATATATATATATATACATATATATATATATATATATATATATATATATATATATATATATATATATATATATATATATATATATATATATATATATATATATATATATATATATATATATATATATATATATATATATATATATATATATATATATATATATATATATATATATATATATATATATATATATATATATATATATATATATATACCATCCCCACCACCTAAATACTTTAATATATCTTTTACAAATATTCGCGGTCTACGAAGCAACTTTCCATCAGTTGAGTCTTACCTCCTGCAAAATTCACCAGACTTGCTTGCACTCAGTGAAACAAATTTAAGTTCTGCAATTTCTTCTTCAGATGTCAGTGTTGATGGGTACTATCCTTTGATTCGTAAAGACTCCAATAGTCACATGCTAGGTGTAGGGGTATACATACGCATTAATTCCCCTATTTGTCGTGAAACCAGGTTCGAATCCTTTGACCATTCTTTTATGTGCTTTCGCCTAGCACCTCTTCACTCTATCACCTTTCTCTTTGTTCTTTATCGTTTTCCTTCTTCCTATGATTGCACTCTTTTAGATGTTATCTCTGATCAAATTGACCATGCCCTCTCTCTTTACCCCTCTGCCAATATTGTTGTTGTTGGTGATTTTAATGCCCATCACACTGAATGGCTTGGCTCTAACACCACTGATCCTGCTGGCACTAAAGCCTTTAACTTCTGCGTTTCTCAATCTCTTACTCAGATAGTTAACTTTGCGACTCGTTTTCCTGACAACCCTAATCATTTACCTTCACTCCTTGACTTATGTCTTGTCTCTGACCCTAGCTTATGTTCAGTTTCCCTAGCTTATGTTCAGTCTCCCTTTTCTCCCTTAGGTGGTTCTGACCATGCAATGATCTCTATAAATCTTTCTTCTCGTACTTCTTTTTTAAGCTCACCTTATCATCGCACCACCTACTACTACCCTAAAGCTGACTGGGATTCCTTTCGTGATTTTCTTCGTGACGGTCCTTGGGCTGATGTTTTTTCTCTCTCAGCTGACAAATGCGCCTCCTACGTAACTTCCTGGATTCAGGCTGGAATGGAAGCTTTTATTCCTTCTTGTCAGTTTCAAGTCAAGCCTCATTCTACTCCATGGTTTTCTCCTTCTTGTGCGGCTGCTATATCCAATCATAATCATTTTTTTCATCTTTTTCAAAAGAACAACTCTCTTAAGAACAAACTATTTATTATTGCAAGAAATCGATGTAAAAAGGTGCTTTCTGATGCTAAACTCCATTATTCTCAGTTCACTAAATCTCGCATCTTATCGCAGAAGTTAGACTCTAAAGACTTTTGGAAAATCTTCAACAGCATTGTTAACAAGGGTAGATCTAACATTCCATCTCTCATTCATGGGACTGATCTTGTTACCTCTCCCAGGGATAAGGCAGAACTGTTTGCAAAGAACTTTTCTTCTAATTCCACTCTTGAATCTTATAGACATTCTCTTCCTTCCATTCCAGTCAAACAGTTTGACCCATTGTTAGACATTCAAATCACTCCAGCTTCTGTTGCTAAAGTCATATCTCAATTAAACTCGTCTACAGCTTGTGGTCCGGACAACATTCCTGTCACAGTCTTGCAGAATTGTTCTCCAGAACTTTCTTCAATTCTCTCTAAACTATTTAACAAGTGTTTGACTGAGTCTTGTTTTCCTGCTTGTTGGAAAATGGCATCTGTGGTTCCAATATTCAAAAACTCTGGAGAAAATTCTGACCCCTCTAATTATCATCCGATTAGTCTTCTTTCTGTTGTTAGCAAGGTCTTTGAGTCTTTGTTCAACAAATTCCTCACATCTCATCTTGAGTCAAATAAAATGCTGTCAGACAATCAATACGGTTTTCGATCCTCTCGCTCTACGGCCGACTTGTTAACTGCTGTAACTGAAAGATTTTATCGTGCATTAGATGGAGGCGGTGAGGCTAGGGCTATTGCTCTCGACATATCTAAAGCTTTCGACAAAGTTTGGCATGCTGGTCTTCTCCATAAGCTTGCTTCATATGGTGTTTCTGGGAAAGTTTTTGAGATTATCAAATCATTTCTTTCTGACCGGTTTATTAAATTCATACTTGAAGGCCAACACTCTTCTTTATTTCCAGTAACTTCTGGGGTTCCCCAAGATTCCATCCTGGGCCCTGTTTTGTTGCTTATCTACATAAACAATCTTCCTGACAACCTTTCATCAAAAGTAGCTCTTTTTGCTGATGACTCAACTTTATACTCCTGTCTTGACAAAAAGTCTTCTCTTTTCGATCGCCTAGAACAAGCAGCTGATCTTGAATCCGATCTCACTTCAGTAATAGATTAGGGTTCACAGTGGCTTGTGAATTTCAACTCTAAAAAAACCCAGTTGCTTACTGCAAACAACTACCGTAATATGGTCAACATTCCTATATTAATGAATGGCAATCCTTTTATTGAGTCCTCCTCTTTACGTTTTCTTAGATTATCGCTTACTACTGACCTTTCATGGAAACCATATATACAATCGGTTTCTAAATTAGCTTCTGCTAAGGTTGCTTCTCTTTATCTTGCTTGCCATTTCCTTACTTCTGATTCCATTCTCTACCTCTACAAATCTCTTATTCGTCCCTGTATGGAATACTTTTGTCATATTTGGGCTGGTTCTTCTAACGATTCACTTTCTCTTCTTGACAAGGTCCA